ATATCATACCTCTTCTTACCTCCCAGTCATTCTGCCTTTTTAAGCAATTCAAGAAAAAAAAAAATGCTTCCTCTGCACTTGCTGCATTGTTTCCCTTCCCTCCCCCTCTCAAATCAAATGTAGAAAACCAGGTAAACAAGCTGTGTAACTGCCTCTTGCCTCGCCATTCCAGCTTGATGCCCTTCACAACAATCCCAGCTGACAGGTTCAGTGCTGAGCTGCACAAAGTGCTTCCTCTTGGCGTGGGTGGTCTGAGTCACTCTGCAGTGAATCTGACAGCTGAGTGCAGTGATATGGACCCGGGGCAACAAGCAGGCTGGGGAGGTGCAGCTTGGGTTTCATGTGCTGTGCATCTGTCTTGAATCCCATGGGCAGGGCATAACTCGCTGTGGCACACTACAAGGCTCAGTGAGCTATCCTCTTCACTTGAGAAGCTAATTCTCCTGTTGTAAACAAATGTTTAGATTAGTAATTCATCCATTCACTTGTAGGGCATCTATCTAATCATCCCTGAATGACTGCAGGATGAAGCACTTAACATTGTTTATCATCTAGGCACAAGGGACTAATCTAAAATACAGGCTTAGTGCCCAGTGATTTATAACATCAGTAGCTTAGATCCTGATACTACAAGTTATTCCAACAAGGCAGACCTTTGCATCTAAGTGGTGTCCTCATCAATGAATCAAGGGTGATCTCCTACACAGACGTCTTGAATCAGGGTGACGGCATCATCACAGATGCTATGGGAGTTTGCACACGTAACCGAGAGTGGAAAGAGCTTCCTCCCACACCTGGATGCTTTGCATTAGGTCCAAATACAATTAGGAGAAAGCACCAGTATACAACGTTTGGAAAGTGGGAGATTCTAGTTCATAACACCCTCAAGGCTCCATCCTGCTTCTGTATCAGTCAGCCACACTTCTTGGTTATCACAGAGCGTACTCAGCAGTCTCTGGCCCATTATAACTGGGAAGAAGTCTGGCTGCTCCTTACCCTGCCAGGGGCTTTTGCTGTAATTAGCCATTTGTGCTGCAACAGATTGCGTGCTTTAGCTCCCAGAATGAATAAGATCAACTACCACAGATGTGCAAGGACAAGAAATTAAATATTTATAAACAGTCGTATTTATTCTGTTTGTTTATTGCCAATAACTAAAGGTCCTTGTCCTTAGAGAGAACTAGCTAACAAGGAAATTCTGGATGTTAAAGTGCAGACATTTCTGAGTTATGCCTGAGCATAAAAACATATTAAAATGTTTACAAGGGGATATGTCTGTATTTTTTCACTGTTGTTTAACTCAAAAAATGCAAAGAAGTTTGCTTAAAGTTTCCAGGAGGAAAAATCATCTTGGGCTGAATTAATGCAAGGAAAAAATCAATCCTAAAGGAGAATTTTTCAACAAAGTATCATCACGTGCAGAAGGGGATAAGGTAGTAGAGGCTGCAACACACAGCCAGATCCTAACGTGACTTGAAACAATTGAGATCATGGCAGGTGAGGCCTTTTTTTTGTCAACTTAATGGCACTACAGAGAGCAAGGTTCAGATCTACAAACATCCATAAAAGAGATCCCCAAATCTGCCATTATATAAAGTACCTCATATACACTTACGTATTTATATATTTACATAAATCCACCACTATATAAAATCCCATATTTGCATTTATAAATAAATTATGTATTATATCTATAAATCAATATAGCTATTTCTACATATATAGATAAACCATACATGGTATTCACTTTTTTTGTCATAAAATGCATTCTCTTTCAGATGTTTTGAGAATAGTGGCTTGTTAAAACAGGAGTTGTCACATACAATATTTAACAGATGTCTGGTTTTAGACAATACGCCCATTGACAAGCTGTGGTTTTTCACCTGTATACTTTTATGCCCTAAAGCTTGGGATTGCCTAGATTATTTCTCTTCTTCCTCCTCCCCCACCCATACTATTCCCCATTTCTCCTCCTCTGCCTCTCCAGAGTCTACTCATGAGGCAGCTACAGGGCTGAGGGGTACACTGCAATTTTGGTTTGCATCTGGTATGAAAAGCCTGGCCTCTTACTTACTCCCTAGCATCCCTGTGTGCTGCTTCCTCTCAGGTTCATTTCCCCGAGGACAACTGAAGTTGAATTGTGTCACAGGGCTGCAGGATTGAGTTATTTGGTGATTATTTGCACCTCTGTCCTCCTGGGTTCTGTTGAGTCATAGAGATACTCCTTGGAGTTTATAACAAACACACTTTAGAATGAGAAAGAAGGCATGTATATATTTCACTTTGAAATTCTCTATCAGATGCTTGATATTTGTCATCCGCTAATTCATCTGTAGTGTACTCCTTTATCCCAGTGTTTGACCTGCTCCTGCTGGAGCAGCAGATGAGTGTAAGTGGATGCACGGAGATGAATGTGATCAAACAATCTCAGTGAAAGCTGAGAGGAGACAACAGAGGATTCCTTACAAAGCAGAATTATACCAAAAATGCCTAGTTGTTGGGTTTGCTCTCTGTATCCATTTATACAGGCCAGATACTGTACTCAGAATTTCAAACATCATTTCATAAGTATCAGCGCAACTTTGGATGGTGGAGTTAAATTTTCTGTTGAGCAACGTGAAATCAAGAGGCCAAGGTGACCAGACTTCCAAATTATAACTACTGAGGACAATGGCACAGTGCCAAACATGTTAAAATGAAAATAAATTATTAATGATATTTTATTTGAACAAACTCAGTGCTTTGAAGTTTCTTTCTTGACTCTTGACTTTCAGATAGCAGAAAACACTCTAATTCTATGTCTCAAATTACTTACAGTGGACACACTGACCTCAGATCCTAAATCGGAGAGTCTTTTAATGATATGCAAATGATGGATCAAGTCACTAAGATGTCAGCAATCCACACTTGCAGATAATAAAAAGTGCATACAGTTCCACTCTGATAGACACTGCATCTTAAGAGAGATATTTCGGTGAAGCAGCAGATCCAGCTCCTGGATCCCACCTAGTGGAAATCAAGAACCGCTGTCTCCCTGACAGTGTGGTTACCAATACATAACTGGTGGCATCTTGCCACTTCAAGAAAGAATTGCTCCCAGTTCCATCTGGGTTTCCACCAACAAACTTATCTCCTCTAATGTGGAAAAGCAAACTGTGGAGCAACCTTGAAAAAGTACTGATCTCTGCCATAGTTTAGCAGCAATTTAAGTAATTGTGAAAAACAACAAGCACATACGTACACACAGATGATATACACATGGCGGGCACCAGCTTTACAAAATTAGAATACTATTGACTTTAATAGAGTTGCTCCTACTTTACACATGTTTGAAAGATGACCAAATGTCTGGCAGTGCATACCACTAGTGACGTCAGTTACTCCAGAAGGGTGATGTATGCAGAGGAAGTATGCACATGCTATTTAAAAAACTAGAGAATGTGCTGGTTAAACAACTAGTATGAAAGGTGGGAGACTGAGAAATAATACTCAAGTGTGCCCTAGATTTCCTTAGAAAGTGTGGCCAACTCAATACCTGCATGCCGCAGCTCTCCATGAGCAAAATGGGAATAATAATTCTCCATTCCACTGTCTCTTTCAGCTCACCAAGAAGCTCTTATAGGCTGAAGGTTCTCTCCTGTTGTATATGCGTGTGGATTTTAATTTAAGCATAGCTGGGAATGCTGTGTACGTGATTCAACATCATGTAACGTTGTCATGAATTAAGTCATCTAAAAAGATATTCCTACAGTTTTCTGTTGCAAAGGGTAATTTACTTCTATGAGAAAACACACATTTATATTTTGGAATCTACCTATTTTTACTACATTTGAAACATTAATGAGTAATTTTAATTTTGGGAGGAGTTACACCAGATGGTTGTGCTGCCATTGAGAAGGACCTCAACAAGCTGGAGAAATGGTCCAAGAGGAATCTCACAAAGTTCAGCAAAGGAAAATGCAAAGTCTTACACCTGAGGAGGAATAATCCCAAGCACCAGTAGATGCTAGGAACTGACTAGCTGGGGAAGCAGCTTAGCAAAAAAGGGCTTAGGCATCCTGGTGGACAACATGTTGAACATGAACCAGAAATGTGCCATAGCTACAAAGAAGGCCAATAGCCTTCCAGGGTGCATTAGGAAGAGCATTGCCAGCAGGTCAAGAGAGGGGATCCTTCCCCTCCACTCAGCACTACTGTGACCACACCTGTAGTGGTCTTTCCAGTTCTCTGCTCCCCAGTACAAGAAAGACATGGACATACTGCAGTGAATCCAGTGAAGAGCCACTAAGATGATTAAGGGATTGGAGGACTTGATGTACAAGGAGAAGCTGAGAGAGCTGGGATTGTTGTACCACAACAAGAGAAGGCTCAGGGAGATCTTACCAATGTGTTCAAATACCTCTTGGGTGGACTAAAGAAGACAGAGCTAGACTCTTCTCAAGGGTGCCCAGTGAAAGGACAAGAGGCAATGGGCACAAATTGAAATATAGAAAATGCAATTTAAACATAAGAAAAAACTTTTTTACTGTAAGGGTGAACAAATACTGGAACAGGTTGCACAGAGAGGTTGTAGAGTCTCCATTCCTGGAAATATTCAAAACCCAACAGGAGAACTGGACAAGCCCCTAAGCAACCTGCTCCAGCTAATCCTGCTTTGAGCAGGGCGTTGGACTAGATGATCTCCAGAGGTCCCTTCCAACCTTAGCTATTCTGTGATTCTGTGGCTGTGCGGTGTCTATACACTATTCCCAGATGGGAACACTGGACTCTCACAATGTAAGTATTAACAGAAACTAAGACTCATCATTGTTGCTATGCCAGTAATGTGGTAGTCTCATAGCCCTGCTGCCTTGCATGTAATTTCTGCAAAGCTACAAGTGTTTTGGGTTTTTTGCCCCTTTATCATGCAAAGTTATTACACAGTCATATGATATACGGTGATCGGTCCTATGTAAAACTATGGTTATTGCAGAAAAGGAAAGGGAATTCAGAAAACTCACTCATTTCCATGTATTCTGGAGTCAGCCCAGTGAAAGGTTCCAAGAGGTAGTCAAGATCCCATTGCTGAGGGTCCTTTGATTGGTTGGTGTCCATTTCCTTTGGCTCAGTTCTTTCATCCTTCAGCTTCCTGAAGAGCTTCTTTAGCTTCCTGAGGAACAGAAGTTCAGATTGAACCAAGTCTTTTTTTTTTTTTCCCCCTACAAGATTTGGCCCAAGTCTTTGCACTGCAACACAAAATGTATATCACATTATTTTGGTGCCCCTTAGGCTTAGTTTACACCATCCTCTGAAGTTCTGATGCTGCTTATTGCCAGGTGACAGGCTGCTGGGGGCAGCAGTTCCTATGTTCCTGTGTCAAAAGGAAAGCTACAACAGCATAACGCTGTTAAAATGGAGTTGAACCCAGCACTTTTTAATATTTGTTTCTCTCTAGATACATGTTGAATGGGCATCTTCCTGAAGCTCAAGCACCTTGGACCTAAATAATATTAGTAATAAGTAATATGATCAAAAAACAACACACTGGGCAGCTCTCCCTCAACAAAGAAAGAAAGAAACAAACAAAATACCAGAAAGCTATGTGGTGCCTTCATACCACATATCTAACACAGGTGCACTTTTCTCTCACCATGAAACTTGGAAACTTCCAAAATAGTATGCTTTTGAGGTCTAAATCACCGTACATATTGGTAACCAAAGAGGGTGCAAGAATGTACTGATTCCTAAACTTGGTGGACTTACAAACATTTTTGCAGAAAAACTGCCTGTTGTTCAAAGCAAAAGGAAATTAGCACCTCTGCTAATAAATCTGCAGCACCAAAAAAAGAAGTGTCTCCAAGATACTGATAGCCATTTAGGACTCTAAAAATGAATATTATTGACTTAAAGCCAGCCCTGTGACCACCAGAAAACACCTGCAGCTCTTCAGGTTCCAGTGCTCTCTTGTCACAAGCATATATACCTGAGTTTATCTAAATAGACAAAAAAAGATGCTGCTTGTGGAACATTAAAGGGGAAGCACTCTTTTCTTTACCCAAAATGATGCTACAACTAATAAAAAAAAATAAAATATGTACCTATGAAATGTTAAGTGTAAGCAATATCTTAATTTTATTAATGGCCTTTCATCCCGGAGAAACACAATTCCCTTGCTTCTACCTAACGTGCAAACAGGGTTCAAACTAATGGAGAAAATCAGATTGATGAGAAAGATTGATGCCCCTTTCAGCAAGGGCAGTAGAATTTGGTCTCAGAGACGTGTATCATTCCTGTCACACACAAACAGAAATTCTACCTTAGTCACTTTGGATTCAGTAACAAATTATTGCTAGAAAAGTGTCACTTGGGATAAATGCAGTAACAGCCTCTTCAGTACTCCACAATGCAGCCCATACTGGAACTCACTGGGGAAGAACTGGAACTCACTGGAACTTCTCTGCAAGTTTATTCCTAAGCCACTGGAAACTACAGAATTCTATAACTACTAACATCAAAATTGAAACATTTATTGAATACTTAAGTGAAAAATATGTATTTCTGAAGTATTTTTTTTTTCCTGAGAGTTTACCGATGATGTATAAGGCAAAGTATGCAGATCTATGTAGACCCTGAAAAACTTACTTCACCAGGAGTTAGATGCTTTATGTACTTGCACAACTGTATAATCTTCCTTCAGAGATTTCTCATAAGAGTTTTAGAGGTTCTGAATTTTCCTTCAGATACGCTGTAGTGTGTATAAAGGTGGAACACTGACTTAGCACACAAACATTGTTATGGTGAGACTTGGAAATTCCCGATTTCAGTCAGGAAATATTTCTGTTACCTGAAAAGTATATGTCTTGCAAGACCAACTATGCTGGCGAGTTTTCACTGTCTCTGAAGCAGAAAAGCAAAACCGTTTCCTACCATTTCTTAAGTAAACACAGATCAGTTATGTCTCCCAGCTCCCGCAGATCAGAAGAGGTTGCATCAGAGGTTCTCATTTTGACCACGTTTTACGATAACATCATCCATTGTGGCCAGACTATAAATTAGTCACATGGGTGAGCAATTATTTGTGCAAGTATATTTTTGGACCTCAGTAGGAATAGTAGTATCGATCACTGTCCCACTGAGATGGGGATACAATTTTCATGACACTGACAAATACATGAATTTCATAAGTAGTATAATCCCAGAGTAAAATTAATCCATCTGTAAAAGAAGAGTAAAGTATTCCCAATGCCCCCCACAGATGATGTTTTAAATGCATATGCATCAATAACTTCATGCTATTTCATACATTAAAAAATTCCCATGGAAAAATGCAATAGAATGAGCTATTTCTTCAAAATCAAGGAAGTTAAATACAGTTGAATTAGTATAAAACATCAAGATTTATACTTACTGTATGTCTTCATTTTGCAGATGAAATTTATCTTTCAAAAATATGCACAACATTATTTTATAGTTCTTCACATATGTGCCATATGAGTGAAAATCCAGACTAATTCCAGTGATGTTTTGCCAGTAATGTAAGCAGGGCTCTCCCACAAACTTTTCCCCCACAGCTTGCAATAAATCCTTTGAACTAGAGTTGTGTGGCCTGGAGACAGGATTGTATGGGGAAACGGTAGGGGTTTTCATCTGTACCTCCAGTTAAGCAGAACCGCTTTCTCAGATCCTAACTTAAGTAGCAGGGCAATGCTAGCTGGCAAACACACTAAAGGCTTTGCTGGGTAGGTTTATTGCTTTGTTCCTGAATATACACTGAGCCACACAGGAACACTGTGTCACCACATAGCACAAGGCTCTATAGCAGCCTGGAAATGACCACTGTGGCTGCAGAATTTCTACACCAACCAATGTGTACAGGACCCATTCAATTTCATCACCAGTACAGAGGAAATGGGGATTGGCAGACACTCTTAAAACAGATCTAGATTGCATCAGGCCCTGTCAGTCCCAGGATCACAAAGCTGCAAAAATCAACAGATCAACTCCAGCTTTTGTTCCAGGTGCAGCTAAGACGTAGCTCATAAGTCTGATGGTAACTTCCTCAGTCCTTTGGCAGTACCCAGATATATTGGAGCTAACCAAATGCTTTCAGTACCCAGAATATTCGGTTTACACAGTTCTAATAAAAGGGTAGGGAGATGTAAAATACTTCACAAGAAAGAATTAGATGGATCCTTACAAAGGCATTTACCTCCTACATCATGCAAACTCAGTCATTTCAAGACACTAAAATTTCCTTTCCCTCTCTCTGCTTTTATGGCAATCAAGGGAACTTGTCTGTGACAGAGGTGATGTAGTATGCAGAGGGTAGGAGTCTGGGGGCAGGATTTAAAACAATCAAAGAATTCCCAGGGTGCTCTTCCAGCATATCCTAATTAATTTCCTAATGTGAAGGACTCTCAGAGGACAGTTCAAGACAGTGCTGATTTCTGTTCCAATAAAATGATATGAGCTATAAATGTCCCTCACATTTCTGTGGGCAGATGAGATTGAAAAGCATCTCGCTGTCACTGTGCGGCAGCTGAGATAAAATTTGGGTGTGTTTAGATGTGAAGTCTGTACATGTGTGATCTAATCCTCTGGTTATAGCACCATGGAGTCGAGTTATGGAGTTTAATGCATACATATAACTCCCCTGAGAACCCAGTAACTAAAACAATAGTTGTTGTTTTTAATGTTTATTTGGAAATACACTAAATCCAGGGCTCAGTTACTCAGAATAATTTTTAATTTTTCATCTGGCTATCTATAAGCCAGGCATGAGGAGTCGCACCTTTAACCATTTTGAGTTAAGCTTTGAAGTGTTCTAATTTTTATTTTTATGTAATTTCTTAAAGGATCAACTAACTGAAAGCAAGCCAAATTAATTCTTTCAAATTTTCCACAAAAAATGTACCTTTGTGTCATATCCAAGCATGTGAAGTTTCAGACCAGACAAAAATGTGTCAGAAAGTTAAAGGAACAGAGAACAGGGATTTGCAGTGTTATTCTCCAGCTATACAGCAATAGGGCAATGAAAATGAGTTTTGCAGAGCTCTATAGCTGCACATATGATTCTGTTATTGAAACTGAGTAAACTTTTTAAATACACTTGTGTGAAACCTGTTTTTTAATTACTCAGATGAACAATTTTAAACAAAGTTGACAGACAATGATAACCAAGAGCCATTTTAGCTTCTGATTTCTGCAAGCCACGCAGCCCCACCAGTGAGAAAGAGGTAGGTTTGTCCATTCAGGAATAATCTCTGAGGAGCTTTGTGCTGAAGCACATGCAGCAAAGTTTCATGACCCCACTAGTAGCCATATGAATCTGGACAGAGAAAACTGTAGAACTGTAGAAGAGACATTATTTCTGGTCCTTTTGCCAGTGAATATCGAAAAGCAAGATACATTCTTGAGGAGACTGAATAGCATGAAAGAAGAATCATAGAATAGAATCATAGAATCATAGAATCATTTAGGTTGGAAAAAACCTTTAAGATCATCAAGTCCAACCATTAACCTAGCACTGCCAAGTCCACCACTAAACCATGTCCCTAAGCACCCCATCTATATGTCTTTTAAATACCTCCAGGGATGGTGACTCAACCACTTCCCTGGG